GAGGAGGAGGAGGAGGAGGAGGAGGAGGAGGAGGACTCACCTCATTGCAGCAGCAGGGGTACTCTCCCGGCGAAGGCTCCAGCGGCGGCGACGATGGCTCTAGCAGCACAACAACGGGGCGGTGGGGAAACGGGGCAGCATGCCATCAGCGCCGACAGCCCCAGCACACAGGGGGCCGGCGGGGACGAGCAGCAGGAACCACGGCGACGGGGAGCGCTGCACCGGCCTGCCGCTGGCCCGATCTGGGCCGAATTCGAATTCAAAAAATGGCCCGATCTGGGCCGTCGATGTTAGCCGCTCGACAGCCCAGATCGGGCCATCAATATTTCAAATCYGGTAGGGCCCTTACCGGATCYGCCTCCAAGGCGGGGTTCTGAAGGTCGATCAAGACCCAGRCATACCCATAAACCCCGTAAAAAAGACCTGCGCCTATTTTGCGMAGGCCCCGGAATTGTAATTTCCRGGTTCTTCCGGGCCCCTTCTTCCGGCCGGATAAACCGGATGGTTCAGGGCCATCCGGATATCCGGAAAAATAACTTAGATTATGAGTGTTGCTATTTCATTGCGTTGYCRTTCACAACATGTTTTGTCGGACATCGTATGYTGTATGCTGTTGTGCGCTTGGTCTTCCTTTGAGTGTTCAAATCAAACACAAACATGTCTTTTGTTTGGCATTGGGAACAATRGGAAAGAAAACAAAAAAGCAACAAACAAACGAGCGACAATGGCACAAGCAAATGAAGATGACATGAGTGAATGTACATCCAACAAGYCGAGGACTAATCATGTTCACAGTATGACAATGGCACAAACACGAGGCGATGACATGAGCGACAATGGAATGAGTGATCAAYCATGATCTGCGAACTGGCGAAAACAAAGGACGCAAGATTAAAAGATGCAAGGTGCGCACCAAGCGCAATGAACTTCTTGCGCAGCAAGCTGCGCTGAACACAATAGAAAACATGATCACAAAAATCGAATTCGCTCCTACAACCTCCTGAAGGGAACGCCTTGTACCATTGCTTCTCCACTATCAGCAACGACAGACTATCCACATCCACAAACAACTACGACCGCAGCTACACAAATAACCCCTGCCGAGCGGATGACCGAAAACGTCGGGCGTCTAGACACAGCAAACAAACACCACGCACGTGCGCAACAAAGGGAAAGGCCATTACCAATCCGTTTTCCAAACGCGCGGCCACGAAACCTGCAGCATCGACGTCGCAAACAACTGCAACCCCCCCCGACCCCCTTCACTTTCCTCACCCGCGCCGACAAACGCGGCCCATTCAACTACTCTCTCCCTCCCTGCACGTGTCGGCCGCATCAAACCCTCCCTCATCCCCCCTGCACGTCGTCTTCTCCATCGTCGTCGTCGTCSTCCTCCATGGGGCCTGAACCCAACCAATCCCTCCTCTTCACGTCTTCCGGCCCCGTTATGCTCACGTCRTGGCCGAAGACGATGCCGCAGGAAGCCCAGTCGGGGATGAACTTCGGGTACTCTTCGAAGGTGGTGTTCGCCTTCCCAGTCTCTCCGTCATTGCGTTGGTGGCTCGGATGACGGATCGTCGATGCTCGAAGGAGCGATSTATGGACGTGGCGAGCGTGGGCTTCGCGACCAGCTTYGCGAAGTAGAAGGCTTCRTAGTGGCTGCGYGGATCGTCTCCCGCCATGCGCATCAACCAGATGCTGGCCGCCAACAAAAGCCTGAAGCAATCTRCAATCCTTGACAAACGGTCGTGTGAGATAAACCCGCCGTCRATGTTGGCACCCATTTGCACCGCGGCGCGGAATGCATGCGCGATGCATATAACGGTYGACTCCTGGTGCGCCGCCATGTCGTCGTCCTCCGGCCTGTCCTCGATGTTCGCCCCCGCAAGCCACAGTGGCAAGTCCATGTTCAGGTTGATTGTGTGCGCGCAAACGGCCGCACTCACGACGTTGCTCMWCTCCTCGCCGTACCACATGGCACRCGCAATGTCTGTTGCCACTGACTCSAGCACGTACTAGAAAGCSAGATTGTATCCTCGAGGGCGGTTCCCGGACTTGAAGMCCCATCCGTGCAAGACACGCAGAGCAATATTCTCCACTGCCGCCGCRCGGGAGATCGCCTGCTGCTCTTGTGCTGGATCTGCAATCCTTATTACGCTCCTGGMASATTTCRGCATGACGACGCTCCGGGGGACGGAGGGCGCTTGCAGCCCGCTGGCGATGGCAACAAAGTACTCCCGCGTTTCATGGACGATGTTGTACAATCTTCGCCCCTCCCCTATCGTCCAAAAGGCTTTGTCATCAGCCCAGAGGCGGGCWYGGTCGGCGAGATCTTTCGCCATGCCTCCCCTCCGCACCCGGCTTAAAAGGGTGTCCTCATCCTCCCTGTCACCCTTGTTGYCGCTGCATGCCACCTCCCGCTGCGCAACTTGGAGCTCCTCTCTCGTTCTCACCAYGGCCGCAACACTACTTTCCCGCCCCTGATCGTCTGCAGTTGTGATCCCCCCCCCACCCGCCATGCACGCTTCTGGYTGGGCTTCCCCCCCTCCACTTTGTTCCACGGAGCCCCCCTCACTAGCARTGTTGCACGGAYGAGGCTGAGACGGCMTGGASGGCAGMCCACCCTGCGGTGGCCTTTSTTTAGTCGAACCGCGTATCTTGAGTGCCGTCGCCGTGGCGCCTTGTGTAACATTTCGTTGCCGCCTGATTTCCAACGGTTCGTCGTCCTCACCGCCGACGTCGACGACAACCTCCTTCGCATTCGGGGTTTCGTGGCCACGAGCTTGTTGCGCCTCCAGAGGGGGCGTCAGCAATCTCCTCGCAGCGCTCTGATCAGACGATCGTTGAAGATTGCTTCCCCGAGGTGCCGACACGGTGGCCTCTACTACTTCTTCCTGCGTTGTGAACACGTCTTCGTCGTCGTCTTCCTCAGGTGTCGCCCAAGTCCGTCCTCGCAGAAGAGGCATGCTTCTTGATGCTTCTTCTGAACGAAGACTCTTCGCCTTGGGGACATGCCGCCTACCCTTTTCCCGCCCTTGAGTGTCTGCCTGGATGATTTTCCGCTTCTTGCCACGGGCGTCGGCTCTCGCAGACATGGTTCCTACTTCCCTCTCTAGATCGCTCGCGCTTACGCCTGCGTTCGTGAAGACGAGGAACAAACGTTTTTGCCGCACTAAGCAAGGCGTCCAGATGCGCCAAAGTCGTCGGCCGACACAGGCGAGACAGCTCCGCGGCGAGAAGAAGACAACACAGACGACAACGAACCGACACGTGGCGAGAGAGATCCGCCGCGACAAAGGGAGAGTGCCCCGCCGATGGTAGTTCCGCTGACGGGTTGCGAACAACGCCTTGCAAATGGATCGGTGTATCACAATCGGTTGCGTTCACACTGACGATGAAGAACCGCCCTCGCCACACACAGTGGCTCGGCGTCGACGTCCACGCCAGAAGGACATAAACCCTGCCCACACTGCTCCGCGGCGAGAAGAACACAACGCAGAAGGGCGTCGAACCTCCGAAGGGGTGATACGGATCCGCGACGAGAAGGAGAGAGCGGTCCACCTGCAATGAGGCCTGGGTCTGCAGCGTGAGGTCTCTCCACGTGTCCACAGACCTCCACGCGGAGAGCGCGGGCACTTTACACGACGTGGAATGTCGACGCCAGGAGATGGCGAGAAGATCCACGACGGTGATCGTCGACGCCACTGAAGAAGTTCCAGACGAGGAGGACTGAGAAAAAACGGGCGAGCAGGCGCTCACGGTGCGCCGCGACGAGGACAAAGCAACAGGGCGTCCCGTGTGGTTGTGCTCGGTGTGCAGCATGTGCGGTGCCCTTCAGTGCTGGAGAAGCCGCAATTGGACGACCTTTATGCGGGAGGGAGCCCAGACGCATCGACAAGATGGAGAAGATGGATGGGCCCCGACGTCGCTTGTTCGCCTTTCGTCGTCGTCGACAGCGACACGTATGACAGCAACTCTCCAGACCTCCTTCGCTCACCCGCCCTTCATCTGTTGCCACGCCCACCTTCCCCGAGGCGCCAACAAACCCTTCGACGCCTCTATGGCCGCGCGTCCATACACTCTCCAGAGGCCGAAATTAAATTATTCAAAAGAGCAAAAGCATTCCCCCCCAACCCCC